CCCTTTTAGATATACAGGCAACGTATTCAGACAGGTCCAAAAAAATAAATATTTCAAAGTAGATGTTCCACAAAATAATAGGAAGGTCGTCAAATTCTTTTCGAAACAGTTTATATTTATGGCAGTTTAAAACTCTACATATACAAATTAAAAATAAGGTTTCACAAGTATCGTGAAAAAACTCATCGCTTCCCACCCAAAACAAAAAAAGAGGTAGAGATAAATCATATTTTTCCGAATCTTTGGTTATAAAAACTATTGCTTTAAAAATTAAAAACTATTTATTTCTTCTACAGATTTTCAATTAAGTTTTCTAACTTCATGAAGAATACGAAATCATCTGCACCTTAAGGGACGAGTCAAACGCTTAAACTATTTAATCCTATGGAGAAGTAATAAATAACGAGAAAATATTACAAACGAAAATATATTAGATGTCTGCCAAAGTACATTAAATTTTTTGTATTTTAATAGAGATGACTAGATGGTAATTCGTAAAACTGTACATACGCATATTGGCACATTAAATATGTTATTTGCGAAATTAACTGAACGCAACGTAAGAATACGATTGAAAATCACACGGCCGGCCGGAAATGTAAGGTCTGTCATTTATACAATTACGTACAGAAATGTACAGCTGGAATATAACGGTTTCCATGAACAGTATAAGCAAAATTATAAAAGTACAGGATTGTATTGCTGTATTTTTACTCAGAAATTTCTAGTTGCGATTTTTTTGTTTAATCGTAGCTTTATTGGACATTTGTATTTGTATACATTTTGTATTTGTTGTTTTTTTTTCAATTTTATTTCAAATCAGCATTGTCTGGTTTCTTTTATAATCGGCCGTCTACGTATATTTTTATATAGACAGGTAATCCAGTCTTTCGGAGGTGCAGGGAGTTTTTTCCTAAGTTATACTCAGCCATAGATACCCTTGATGGAAAACCGCGCTGGTGAATTTCATACATAAATGAAAGTACCGAACACAGTAGCTGCTTATGTCTTTCAGAAATAGTAATAACTATTGTTTTTACCGTAGTAGGTGAGCGTCACAGAGTGTCTCGAAGTATTTACTGACAAGAAGAATGCCCTTTTTCTGATGAGTTCGCGATGAGCAATCTTCATTATGATTATACATAATTTATGTCCGCTTGGATTGACTAGCCACTGTTCATATCTTAATTAATATTATTTTTTAGTAGTAAATAAAAACATTGATCCTCAATTTTGTAGTATAATACTTCAAAAGTTATATGAACATAAAGGTGGCTCTCAATGCAAATGTTTGGCTTGAGATATATATTTATCATAATTTACTCGTAGTATGATTTTGTAGTATTTGAGAGTAGTTAACGGACAAAATCTGAGCTTGGTAATGTTAAAAAAAAGGCACCATACATTATATATCTCCTCAGACCATATATATACGACTATCATTTTTCAAAGAAGCAGTCTTTCAATTGATGCGCAATTTCTTCATCATTCAGTAGTAAGTATATTAAATTTGTAGTCTTAAGAGTCAGTAATTAGAAATGAGTGGATTGGGACATATGGCACATTTTAACTTGCTCCTCAGTTAAGATGCTTCGGTAAATAGATTTGACTGTAATATATATTTGTGACCAAATTTTGAAACATAAAACATCTATATTTAAATTTATACTAAATGTACGTATAATTCTGTCATACAAAACTACAGTATCGACGAAGTTATTAGCTATTCTTTAATTTCCTATCAATTTTTTTTTGTACGGTGTGCACGAATAACTTGCATATGTAGGTTCAAATGGGGCAACTGAGGCAGCTGAGTGTTGTTGAACTGTTGCAACGTTTTGTAAAAAAAACTAGGAATCATAACTTTTTGTTTTAAACCATACAGAATATACCTACCTAACCTACATGAACATTTAAGGGAGTAGTGAGCTTAGTGAATTGCTAACATGGTGCTATATATAGGTATAGATCACATCAATACCTCGTGCCTGCGTTTAGTAAATTTATTTTTTAAATATTTAAAAATTACTCATTTTACAAAAAAAACTGTAAAACACTGAACCTTTTTTTGTTTTGGCTTTTAAAAATGCTCCGATTGCGTTCCAACAGAAGGGCGTGAAAGGCCTGATTCGGTCTACTGGATTTAAAATAGTGAACCGGCCTCCAAACTATTCAAACAAGACCTGACAGATTATTGAAAGGAGCAGATAATGAAGTGTCAATACTAAACACGAGGGAATTTGACCCAAATCCTTATTGCAAAGCTTTTAAGATGCGAATCACGACTTAAATTTTAATATTATTGTATATTGGCCAACTGGCTAGCTTTTCGGGAATTTAGTTAATTTCTACTATAAATAAGTATTTCAACTTATCGAGATTTTCTTACATGATCAGCTTGTGAATATATTAAAATCGATTACTTTAGAGTAAACACTTTCAGACCAGGGTTGTCCCGCGTACGTTATCACATTTGTTTACATTAACTTTACAAGAGCGAAACCGCAGCCCAAAGTTATAACAATATTGTAAATGGGACGGTGAGTTTCATTGTTAACCATACGTATTGTCAGAAATAAAGAAAAGGATATAGTTACTTTAGAGATTGAGGGTTCGATTCCCACCTAGTACACAATATTGTGTAATTGGCACGATCATTTGTTCTGTACCTAGGTCTAATTTATCTATAATATGTATGTATTTAGAAATAAAATAATATAATAGAATATTCTACCACATTCACACAACGCCATATAACTAAGCAGAGCTTGTATTATGAGTTCTTTTTTTTGTAAATACAAACATATTATACATAGAAACACCCAGACTAAATCAAACAGTAAATGTTCAAGCACACAAATGTTTGGCTTGAGCGGAAATCGAACCCGCGACCTTTGGCGGTTAACGGCAATAGACTTGCCCCCCATTACGTTAGTCGAACTACCGATATCTCAGATAGGCCGCTGGCTCGTCTGCCATTATTGGCAATAAAAAAAATTGTCGAAGAGGTGCATACATATGTGCACACCTGTACTTTTATTTTATATTATTATATTTATATTATATTTTTCGCGTTGAAATACAAAATGTGCGAATCGTTAAAACATTTTTCTAGAGGTGTATCGATTCGCACACTAATAAATTTAGTTTGTGCAAATCGACTAATTTTTTTTTTATTAATATTTAAAAGAGTCGTTTCGCACGAAGTGTGTGATCAAATTTGTGCGAATCGACCACGAAGCCAAATAGTCTTCTCCTTAGGGGATAAAGACTTGAGTGTATGATTATGTTCAGGTTAAATTTTATCCAGGAAACAAAAAATACTTTTACAGCGGTTTTTGGTCGGTTCGTGTCCGACATAATCAGTCACCCGGGTGGTATCCAAGGACGCACAGAAAAAAAAGGGTAATAATGTAAAGAAGGTACACTGCGGGCAAAAGCTGGTAGGAGCAACAAAATAAAAATACTTTTCATACCAATACTTTTCAGTCCATGATCCATCGAGTAGGTCGAGTACGTATTTTTTTGGGATTTTGCTTTCATTAGTACGCGCTGTAGTGGAACTGTCGCGCTCTCACGGCAACTTAATCACATTGCCAGAAAACCTTACGTAAGGTAGTGGTGACTCACACGTTACGCATTTATGTCTATCCTTTATTTTGTCAAGAAATAACAAATTAGGACATTTGTTTGCATACTCGATGCATTCCGAATTCATACGTCAAAGTCACCGTCGATTTTTCTTTTTGATAGACAAAAAAAAATGACTTTTAGTTCTAAAAGGACATGATAGTCACGAGCGACTGATGCTGCTGGCCATCTTATTTGACATAAATAAATGGTTTCTCACTTTATAAGGTGGAATGTGTAGGTAGTATTTTAGTCTGAACAAAATTTATAAACTATAAAATTAGGTGCATTCGGTAGAGACTAGACTACTTTTTTTTTTGTTGGCAACCGTGTCTCGAGACGATGACGTCTTAAATCTCTAGGTACCGTTTAATGTAAGTTGCATAGTCAATCACGAGATACAGATTATATCTTGTCACCGTGTCGCTGCGAGGTGCTCGCTCCTGCAGGTACCTACCTACACCGTGCGCCAAGACCCGCAATCAAGGCGGATTTCTTGAGCCATTACCACTAATATCAGTCGCCGGCTACTGTGCATTTACAAAACCATTTGCTCGATAAATTAACAATAAAATGTCTCAAGAAATCGCATAAACCCAACATTTTCCTGCCGAACATCGTTTTTGCCTTTGTTTATATTAAGTTATTATTATTATAAGATTTTTTTAAGTTTTTTGTTGACAGAACAATATAATAAATAAATGCATTATCTAATAATATAATAAAATTTAAAATAGACTATAAATTTCATCTTACAAGACAAACTTGTTTTTTTTTTTAAATTGTAACGTACCTAATAAGCGCCCTTGAAAAGACTTCAACGCTTAACCGTCATGAAGTTCATTGATCCAACGCTATTATTGAGCATGCTTTAATCTGATTAAGTTCTATAGAACTGTACGTCTCGTTACTATGTAATTTATAAATCATTTAAGTATGCAAAACAGTATGGTAATGATCACAGGTAGGTGTTCGTCGTACGTCCCAGTTTATTTGACTGTATGGAAGGTAGGTACATGTCGTTCGCAGCAAGATACAGAGTTGAGTATACGGGCGACGGTATAAGCATTGCACAAATTCGAAGGTGTGTGAACATGATGAGCGTGTCGAGGCATGTGTCGGCGCGGCTCCCGCGGTGCCGGTGCGGGCGGCACAGCGGTGCGGCGCGGCGCGGCGGCACAAGGCGGAAGGCTGCAAGAGGCGCGCGTGGCGCGTCACCGGCGCGGGTCGTCGACTCGCCGCACCACTCGCTGCACTTGCACTCGCGACTCGCCCCGGCCGCTGCCGGCTAACCGCGCTCGACGCCCAGTCTCGAGCTCTCAGTCCGCGTCGACTCTCCGATAAGGCAACACCGACGACAACGGCGTCGGATGTGTCGCGCGGTGTCCTACGGCGGCGGCGGTGCAGCGACGGTCACTTGTTGCAGGAGGCGCGGCGGCACGTGTCGCGGGTGGGTGTGCGCGCACGTGCCGAGCCAACCCCGCAGTGCCGCGGCAGCAGGCGTCGAGCGCAGAGCGCCGCACGCGCCGGCATGCGACGCTAGCGGGAGCATGCGGCTGCCGCTGCTGCCGCTGCTCGTGCTGCCGCTCGTGCTCGCGCGCCCGGCAGCAGGTGAGACATGTTACACTACTACATCATCATTTCATTTACAAAACCTCGAAAATGAATATTTAAAGTTCGTAAATATGTATTGTACGTATTTTCCTATTATTACAATTGTGATTTTTCGACAATAGATTGAAACATTATTTAACCAACTGTTTCGTTACTTATTAACTTGTATAAGATTATTTAATGTATTTTTTGTTTTGTTACTAATTTATATTTTAATACAGCGCTACTTAATTTGGTATTTATAGTGTTATCTAAAAGTTTGCTTCACAAACATTTTCCGAAAGTATCAACGTCGTGATAATAAAAGATGAACGTGTGCAGTGACAATATCTAATTAAGTATTATGATAATTGAATCGGTATAAATTAATCAGAACATGTGATAAGTAGCGGGTCGAGCTGAGGGATCCGCGGACCGGTGGGACGGCTTCCGCGCCGCGTTACGCACTGGCCGGCAAATTGAACGGTTTTTATACCCGACCTATACACGTTTACTTAAATATTAACCTTAAAAATACATGCACTTACATTTTCAGTTTCGACACCATACAACATTGATTTCAATTGTATTTACTGTCCATGAAATGTTAGAACGTAGGTACTTATGTTTGTCTGCTATGTACTGTATAAGACTAGACTACGAGACATCAAATACAAAAACAATACGCATTAAACAGATTTACAATAACATTTTCTGAAACCACGATGCAAAAACCAATTATGACTTTCGCTTAAGTTTAATAATTTTTAATTGAACCTTTTCGTGTCATCTAATCGAAATCAATGTATTCTAGTCTTGGAACAACATGCAGTGTGGGCTATCAAACCCATATGGATATAGAAAAATGTAAGTGCTTCTAAATAACTTAATCAGAATTACAAAAAAATTGCATTTTAGAATAAATAAAGCCAACAGAATTGCCAAATAAGTATTAGGTTCTCAAATTGAACATCACGGAAATCACGTTCGTATTCGTACACACTCACCACATATGTATTAGTACTCTGAAAAATGTGTTAATATTCAAAACATGGCCTTAGACAATACATTCTAAGAAGTAAATCAATCTATCTTTTACCTCGATTCTTGCTACTTAAACGCCACGAATAAATATGGAAATACTTACATACACATTTCGAATGTTGAATGTTTTGTACTAATGATGAATTGTCAATACATACCTAGCAATGGACGTACTATTTACCACTTGAACTCATAAATGTGTCAATTAGGCATAATGATCAGACTTTGCAAAGCATTTTATCTTAACTCAGAAAATAAGGTGTGTGTAAAAAAATCTCAAACAATCGCATAAAATTTACGACACGTGGAAACAAATGAATATTTTTTGCGTAAGTCTTCTGAACATAAACATCGGTTCATTGAACAACAACTCGTGTTTTGAAAATTTGAGCTTACTTATTTTTTTAATAATTCATATTGTTGTCTCCTCTGAAAACGAAGTAAAAGAAAGACATTTCAAAAAATATTGAAAATAGTATTTTTCGTAGGTACTTAAACATACAGAAACTACTAAAAGAAGTCAATTCAATTAACAGCTTATATGTATGTGCCTAGAAATGAATTAAATTTTTACCTAAGTATTCGTACCCAAGAATTTCAATTTTCCACTTGCCAAGTATGTAATTTAATTGCGTACTTTTGACGCAACCCAAAGAAATGTTATCATATTGTATTTAACAAAAAAATTGTTTCTTTTTTGCAATTTGGCGACACAACCACAAAGTTCCATTGATGCGGAGCGACAGGAAACAAGCCCGTCTCTGTTTTGCTTGCCCGACATTCATTACATAAAATCGTCATGTGTAAGTTCACGCTAAAATGACACTTTTGGCGTTAAATACATATTTAAAATAATGTTGACCTTTCGAACCAAAAATTTAATAATAAGGTACACAAGTAGTAATTTAAAAATTAAAAAGACAGTTTAAAAATAACGTATTATTACTTTTTAAATTTAAATATACAACTAACATATATTTTTGCAATCCTCTTTTAATGTTCTTGATTTTGATACCCTAGTCAATAGATTTGTTTTTTTATATTAACCTATTATTATCTGCCCCAAAAATCCGCTAAATAACGGCTTTTTGTTTTTTCTTTAAAAATAACATCTAAGGACACTTGGGTTTTTAAGACGGATAAAACCATATCTTAACTGTCGAAATCTATTCAGCCATTTGGAAGATACGAGGTGATAAATAAATTTACAAACAACACAAAACATAACCCTTCCTTGGCAGTCGGGTAAATAGTTGGTAATGTCTTGTAATATTATAAGTTGCAGTCATTATGTTTTAACATGTTTTCCACGAAAATGATGCAATTCTTTGTTGAAATTGAGTAATATGTGTGGTATGTTAATATATTTAAATATCATTAAAATAAGATTCTTAATAGTAATAGAACTGTGAGTATGATATATACACAAAACTTAAGAAAAATAATAACTTACTAAATAATAAAATATATCACCGACTTTAATGGACCTAGATAAAAATCTAATAAAAATGAATGATATATAATCAAAAAATAATAAATTATAATCAGCTGTATTTTCATCTTAATTTTCAAACCTATAAAGTAGTTCACAATCGATGAAGCTATCACGTAACATACACACAAAAATAAAACAAATCAAAGTTCAGCTACATTAGAAACCTGCTCCTTTTGAAGTCAATTAAAAAATGAAATAAAAATGACATTTAAACTCACTTTATTGTATCTATGATGTAAACCGATAGCCTTGGTAAACCTAGAAGACCAATATTAAATAAATATAATAAATAAGTAGTATTCTTCATTTTTGTATGAAAATAATTCCTCTCCTAAGTTTAGCCTCTTTTATTCTCAATTTAAAAACTTTAACGAAAAAATGTTTTTTTAATATAAAAAGTAAATGTTATGTAAAGAATACAGACTAACTAAGAACTAACAAGGCACTGTCCGAGTAGATTGATGGTATCATACTTCCTTGGTATCCTCACTGTGTTTTACCTATGAGAAAGAAACAATAGTAATTTAATGAGATTGAAATATTTCACAAGACGTCAAAACTAATAAATTTGGATTTTACAGTGGATTATTTAATTTTAAATCAGTGTTAACATTAAAATCTATTCGAATATCACAAAACATAATACCCATGAAATTTCTTTTTAGTCGTATTTTTTTGGATTCCAACTTAACTTAGTAACTTAACAACGAATTACTCTTTTTTAAATTAATGACAAAACAAGTTCATAGGAAAATGCTTTGGGTAAAGTTATATATTTTCAAAAAGTGAGATAAATAAAAAAAAACATTTAAAATGAATATAGCACATAGTCATAAAAAAACTTTTTACATGTTGATACGATTACTCGTCAGAAAATGTAAAAAGTTTTTTTACGTATCGCCACAAGGCCCTAGTCTGCTAGACGGCTAGGATTAAACCTTAAATTCATCCTCAGTTCTCTGTCCAAAACGTTTAGATTTAGTAAGTCATTTAGTAAAAATATTCTAAACTTAATAACTAAAAATTTATTATAAATATCAAATTCACTATCTTACCGATCGACTCCTCGATAGTATTTAAATTGAGAATTGAGTTTGAATAACATTTTCTAACTTGAGTAAGTCTCTATACGAAAGAGACGAACAATTGCTAGGCGCACTTTTGCTACATAATTGTCTGTGAAGTTTATTCGTGCAGAAACACAATGCAGATAAGGTTAAAATATGTTCCGTGATGTAAAGTATTCTGTCTTATACCAATCCCCTTTTTAAGATCCTATAAGCTATCCTGTCCAACTGCTGACAGTATCTGGTTAAGATTATTCATGCATAGCAAACCTTTATCGTGGCTGGAGATTATTGAGTCCTTCAGGTTAAACTAGCAACTTATAAAAACATTAAGCAGGTTTCTACTACATAGTTAAACAATTATATTCATATTTAAAGTGCCCAATGGCAGTTAGTACTTACAAGTACAATTGTGGAATTTTAATGCACTATTTGTATCTAAAACCTAGAAAAGCTGTTTACCCTCAAACTGACAAGTATATTAACTTTCTTAATATTCAACATTTGTAAGTTAGACTGCCGACCAAAGTCGATCCGTAATATAAATCACTACTTTAAACAGTGTCCTTTAAGCCCTTAAAGTAGACTCGTTGGAAATGAGTGAATGAAATGAACTGCTTTTAACGCCTAGTTACCATATGTTTTACCACTTAAGTAAATAACGTAATATTTCACCGTCTGGGACACATCCGTCCGACGACTAGCACACCTAGTTTCGCGTCGGCCCTGTATGTCGTACGCATGTACTTATTAAGTACTTGTTTCTACGTCATTAAGGACAATGTCTGGATGATTTCAAGACCGTCTTTAATTACAAGTCCTTACAGACTTGATGACTTTGTTCAGTTTATATATATATATATATATATATATATATATATATGTACGTAGTATATACATGTAATTCTGATACAAATGTCAAGTGCAAGATGATTATGTACTCGTATGTGTCTTTTACGCACAATGTTAAGAGATTTACTATAGGGTCATACAATAGTGTAGTGGTTTCCGGTAAAATATAATTTCGGTAGTTATTTTTAATTTTCAGAGATAGAGTAACACAAGTGATTCTTTAAAAGTATAGTTTTTTTTTCATGCAGACATACAAAATCTTAAAAAATTCTAAGAAACCTGAATAATATCTCGTAATATTTAATAGACCAAAAGCAACATAGGTCTCACATTTCTAGAACTCTCTCTTAAATTCTAAACTACACGCATACTTTAAAACCTAAATCTCAATAGCAAGATTCACATCACACACATCAACTGCCTTTAGTATTCCACTGCTGGACATAGGCTTCTCCTTAGAAAGGAGATTTTAGCCTACTATACCACGCTACAGTACTAACATGACTAAATCATCAATTCTTCTTTCATGATGGAGTGTTCCATGTAACCGATAATTTGGT